TAAACTGACCAATAAAACCTTTATTTATGCTAATTAAAAAAAATGCTGTCTTTATTGAACAGCATTTCTGTAGGTGTTCAAATCAACTGGGAAAAAGTAATAAAGAAAACAGAGTAAGAAGAACCATGCCTACTCTTCTTCCTCTTGTTAAGCTTGATTGAGTAGGCTCTGACTCATAGTGACACTGTATAGGGTTTCCGAGGCTGTAAATCTTTGCAGGAGCAAAAGCCTCATGTTTCTCCCACAGAGCAGCTGGTGTGCTTGAACTGCTGATGTGTGATTCACAGTCCAGTGATTATTCTTTTTTGGAAGAGAATATTCCAAACACTCTTGTCATGGCCCCTAGGACTTCTTTATTCCTCAGGCTATAGATAATGGGATTGAGCATGGGAGTGAGAATGGTATAAAATACAGCCAAAGTTTTATCTTCTTCTGGTGAGCGGAGACTCCTAGGCCGAAGATAAGTATAAACAAATGGTGCATAGTAAAAAGTAACTACAGTCAAATGTGTTGAACAGGTGGTGAAGGCCTTTTTTCTTCCCTCTTTGGAGCGCATATTGAAGACAGCAAAAATGACTCTGCCATAGGAAGCAGTGATGCCAAGAAAAGGAAGGAGGAGAAAGAGACTCGTACTCACAAATACCATGTATTCATAAACCCAGGTGTCCATACATGCAAGAGGCAACATGGCTGGAACATCACAAAAAAAGTGATCAATAGCCCTGGACCGACAATAAGGAATATGAAGGGCATAGACTGTGTGTGCCAAGGAGTTAATGGATCCCAAGATCCAAGATCCTATGATCATCTGAACACACTTCCTTCTATTCATATAGTTGGAATAATGGAGAGGGTGACAAATGGCCACATAACGGTCATAGGCCATGGAGGCCAGAAGTAAGCCTTCAGAACAGGCCATTGTCAAGAAGAAGAAGCTTTGAACACCACATCCTAGGAAAGAGATGTTTTTCAGGCCAGAGAGGAAGTTAAACACCATCTTAGGGACTGTGGTAGAAATGTACATCAAGTCCATGAGTGAGAGCTGACTAAGGAGAATGTACATGGGTGTGTGGAGACGAGGATCCATGCGGATGAGGTGAATCATAGTTGAGTTACCAACAGAGGCCAGAAAAAACACAAGTATGATAAGGAGTAAAAGCAGCAGGCCAGTTTTGTTTTCTGGAAAAAGCCCCAACAGAATGAAATCATCTGAAGTGTGATTCCATGTCTCCATGAAGACGTATTGCTTTAATTTTCTGTAAAGGAAATTAAAAAAAAAAAAAAATGAAGAGAAAATAGCATAAAAAGAAAATTTGAATTTGTTAATGTTTTAGACTCGATATTTTTTTCAAGCACTTCAACTTTTATTTAATTCAGAATTTGAATTGAATATCTTATGTATCCCTACACTATGTATTCTCTTGTAAATGTGTAAGCAAGTCATAGATAAAAGTGTTAAATCTAGTATAATATACAACAAAAACAAATAGCAAAGTCACACAAAGGATTCCCGTCCCTATCATGATTCCTAGTCAGGTCCCTTAGCTGTGATTTCAAGGATTCACAGTCATTAAAAAAAGAAGAAAGTTACTGTGGAGTTAATTTAACTCCCACTCTTTCTTATGGCAACTTCAGGTATGTCAGAGTAGAACTGTGCTCCATAGGCTTTTTAGAGGCTTATTTTTCTACATAGATCACCAGGTGTGTTTTTTTGTTTTGTTTTGTTTTTTAATTTTCTTTTTTTTTTTTTCTGAGAAACCTCTGTGTAGACTCCAACCAGCAGCATTTTGGCTAGCAGAGTAGCACTTATCTTTTTTACACAACCCAGTCTGTGCATTTCCCCAGCATCTATATTGAACATAGTATATTTACAATAATAAATGATATATGACTCAGAAACTTTTTTCTTTGCAGAAATTCCATGCTTTCTAATACATAGTCTTTCTATGCATTATTAATTTCCAGTTGTCCCTCCCAAAGTGGTAGCAGCAGAATCAAGAGCTAGAGCATGAGACAGAGCAGTAGGCTTTTCAGCCCACAGAGCAAGAAAAGCTGAGTGATTTGGGATAAAGCCTTGCTTGCAGAATGGAGTACGTCCAGGTGCATGGAGTTATAGCCTCGTGTCTTCAAGCTGAGATTTATGATGGAGTGGTACACCCTGTGCGCATTTATCAGCAGCCCTAAAACATTGCCCAGGCAGAAAGAAGTCTGTCTTTGGGCAGACTGAACACAGGCTTTGCTGATTGGAAGAACTGTGCCCTGAGCTTTTCTGATCTTGAATTGTAATGTGTTAACTTCTCTAATAAGCCCCATAACTGTGAGCATGGTGTCTGAATTCTGTGTAGCCATTGCAATTGAAATAGTATACCCAGATGAGTAGAGAGTGCTATGAGAGAGATGATTGGTGCTCTTTACATGTCTCATATTTATCACTTTTGTGTCTTTCCTTAAAATGTACCATACATCTGAAACCATTTTCCTTGAATTATTAAGTCTACTTTTTGACTCATAGCAACCTCTTATTAGAAAGCAGAATTGCCCCATAGGGTTTCCTAGACTATAATATTTACAGGAGCAGATTGTTCAATCTTTCCTTGTAGAGCTTCTGGGAAAAAATGACCTTCCCCCTTTAGGTTAAAAGTCAAGCACACAACAATTGCACCATCACGGCTCTTTCATGACCTACTTAAAAAATATTATTTAAATGTTATCTTATCCTTAATAATGTTTCCATTTTCGGAAGTCTAGCAGAACTTGAAATTGAATGCACTGAATGTTTGACACAGCTGTCATTTCTTTATGTAGATAAAGTGCACATGATAAAGTCTCAGATTTCATGGTGTACACATTTCCATTTTGTTTACCATTATCCCCATCAATAACCAGTATGATCATGGAAATATAATACAGGATCCAAAAACTCACTGCCATTGAATTGATTCTAACTCATCTAAGTGTATAGGACAGAATAGTTTTCTAACTCATCTAACCCTATAGGTCAAAATAGGATTTCCAAAGCTGTGTATCTTTACAGAAATGGATTTCCTCATGTTTTTGCCTTGGAATGACAAGTTGGTTTAAAGCCCTGACCTTTCAGTTAGAAGTAATATGCTTTAATCAGCATACCATTAAAATTGGAATATTTCAGACTCATAAATTATCTTAGTTTTAAAAATTATTTTGATAGCTCTACAGGAAAAACACTGGACTGTAAACCACAGTGTTAGCAGTCCAAGCCCATCAGTCACTCCATGGGAATAGGTAAGGCTTTCTGCTCCCACAAAGATTTACAGCCTCATAAATGCTATACAGGGTTGACTTATGTTGGAACTGACTTGATGGCACTTAGCAAAAACAATAACAACATTTAATATAATCATCCTTCATATTCTAGAAATGTAAACATACATTTCCATCTTTAAATATAAAATGTTGAATTCATTAATGTGAAGAATAATTTTCTAAAACACAATTATCAATGGGAGTCAAATTTTATATCTTCTTTTGCTTCAAATTTCTAGTTAGTTTCCTAATTGTTTTTTATAAATGACTTTGTGCATCATATCTAATTTACCTCAACTTAAAATGCATAATAATTATACCTGTGAAACTAAGTCAAAGCATATGGAGATTAAAAAATAAAATGTTGACTCATGAGAAATCCTGAAATGGGGCACTGAGAAACTAGGAGTATCAAAATGTTTTAGCCTAAAAACAGTAAAATGTAGGTGACCTGGGAAGTCATCATGGTATAGCAGCTATAGAATCAACTTCTCTATCCAGTGGTCTCTATAAATTGTCACTATTATCCATGTCTTATTCCTCCCTAAACACCTACCATACTCAATTATTGCAGTCAACAAGCTGTTTTTTTGTTTTGTTTATTTTAAATGATAGCTTCTTCTTTTAACTTGGAGCTAAGCCCCTTTCTAAAACTATCATAGGAATGAATGCAAACAGTTACATATTTCTTATGAAGGTCACTGAAAACTGCTGCTGGAAAAGCTAATGGTAACTATGGGAGACAACATGTCTGGGACAGTCAGTGACAAACTTGAGGTAAACAGAGCAACATCAAGCTTCTAAAATTCTTTAAGCTCCTACCCTGTGTCCAAGATCCCTATAAACACTCCCTCCCCTTTACCCTTGAGTAGGAAGACTTGGGAGATTACAACTCCTCTGTCCTCTTGTGTATAAATACATAAATATTTTGCTCTTTGATCTAAGTTCTATCTCTAAATATTGACTATATTATAGACAGGTAATTTAAAACCATTTTTCTGATTACAATTCTGCCATCCCAGATGAAACTGCTGATCACCTGAGATGTGGGGGCCCTATGCAGGACCACTCCTCCTAAAAGTCTCATGCAGTCACAAGATGATTTATCCCTCATGGCCTGTACCGAAGACTGAACCATGGCATGTTGTTTTGTCTTGGATATACACAGAGAAAAAAAACACACACAAAAAAACACCAAAAACTGAGGCGGGTTACTCACAGTGGCATAGCACTACATGAGGTGTGTTTTAAAATGTTTGCATCTATTGGAAGCCATCCAAGAATCAGTTGCAGTAACTATAATATAGTGTTCAGATCACCAAAAGAACAATGCCTTGGAAGGAAACCTTCATACCAACAAAGCTTCCATCCTTGCAAATTCTGACCTTGAGCTAAAGATGTTCACATTCAAGTACTTCACTGAAGATATTAAGAGAGCAGCTATTTATAAAGATTCAAAAACTCACCGAGTAAAATGTAAAATATACCTATCCTGGAAACCCTGCTCAACTGAAAAAAATCAAGAAGATGAACGACACTCTAAAGAAGACCCTGGAAAAACTTTGCTAAGGGATTAATCAAATTTGGGACACGGTATATCCCCTTGCCCTGCTCAAAATCAGAGCTGCCCCTAGAAACAGTCCCAAATTAGGCTTCTGTGAATTGGTATATGACTGACCACTCCTAAAGCACTAATGTGCATAGTTGTGAGCCCTTGGCTCCATATTAAAGAAAATAAATCAAGTTTTGTTGTTGTTGCTGTTGTTAAGTGATGTCAGTTAGTTCTAAGTATTGACTGGGGGATTTGAACATATATCTTGTGATTAGCAGCCTAGTACTTATCCTGCAGCACAATACCACAATTCCATTAATCAATTTACTTCTCTCCACATGGCTTTCCTTGGGGTCACCCCTCACTGCAGATACTCTCTGGAACACTGTGTACTATTTTTAGGTGTAGAAGATCCAGCACCACAATAAATAAAGTCAATTCTTTTACTTTCATCTTCATAACTGGGCTTAAATATTAATTAATTAATTAAGAGTTAAAATAGTTTATTTGCTGTTTTCATGTTTCATTCTCCCTAAGGAAACCCACTTGGAAAGAGGAGCCTTTCCTTGTCCTAAAAGCGGAGGGTTATCTTATCCTTTAGTTTAGGAATACTCTCGTCTTCTGTTGTATATTGTCAGCCTTTATTCCTATTGTTGTTGTTGTTGTTAAGTGCTGTTGAGTCTGTTTCAATTCATAGTGGCCTGTATAGGATTTGCGAGGACCAGCTGATAAGTTTGAATTGCCAACTTTGCAGATTAAACTGAACTTGTGGTTGAATGCTTATCCCACAGGAACAAACCAAGACTCCTATGGAATCAGTCAAATTAATAAAATGAGGCTTAGAAGCTGGAGGTATTAAAGAAAAAGTAATTTGGGATTTCAGATATTTTCAGACCAGCAAAAAGGGCCTCATGGTTGATACCACCCAATGCTTTAACAAAGATATTTCTATTTTCATTCAGGACGTTGATGTTGTTGTTAAGTGCCTTTGAGTTGGTTCTGACTCATAGCAACTCTACATAGAGTTTTCAAGGAGCATCTGGTGAGTTTTCCTTGCTGAACTTGTAGTTGAAGTTCAATGCTTACCCTACAATGCCATACCAGGACTCCTATCAGGATGAGTCTCTCTTAAATTATGGGATTTACTATTATGTTAAATATGAGGTGAAGAGATTACTCAGGAAAATGGAACAAAAAATTTTATTGTCAGGACAAAAGAGCTGTCACATATCTCAGATGCTGGGACTGGTCCTGTAATGGGTAAGTTAATATGTCTCAAGCCATAGCAGAGGGGAAGAAACTAAAAACTATTGGGTATGTCACCATCTCCTCCAGTCAGGGGCAAACCTAAGTTCTATGGCTATCACAGTGATTGATTATGCTGGAATCCCCAACCTCAC